CAAATAAACAATAAACAATAAACAACAATAAACAAGAACTAGAAGAAGAACCTAAAATCCACACGGTCCTAATTTACTTTTCATCTGTTCATCTCTGAGCTGGAAGCAGCTCAAAGAATAAAAAAATATCTCCCAATAATAATAATAATAATAATAATAATAATAGCTTCATTGTCAACAAACTGCCTTAATTTTAACTCGTGTCAGCAGCATTACAACTGTAAAGTTCTACCACTAATAATAATAAAAATAAAAACACACTGCAGGTTTAAAATGGTGCAATACAAATGTTTATTATATGACAAAAATACTGTCACTAACTAATGTTATATTCATCTTCATCATCATCATCATCATCATCATCATGTGGCGTCTCCTCATCCAATCAGGATGAGACTCTGCTTTGTTTAAATCTTATACACAAACATCTTATACAGAATTAAATTAACCAGGACCAAAAACAACCAGCTCATCTTCCTCCTCACCCTCCTCTTCATCGTTTAAAGGAGCAGTCCGGCGCTGGCAGACGGATAGTTTGAAAAGGGAACAGAAGAAGAAGCTTCCTGTAACGATGAACTGCTCCTTTAAACTTTTTCTGGCAGTTTTTCTAAAAGCAGAATTTTTTATTTTCTTGTGAAAAGCAGCAAAGGAAACGACCGAAACCCTGCTTTTATTTTGGTTCTCTACACGTCCTGCTCTCTCTCTCTCTCTCTCTCCCTCTCTAAGCCCCGCCCCTCTCCACCTGTACCTGTCAGGAGGCGGAGCTTTCATGTTAAGTTTTTAATATTTTAAGGCAGCTGGTTGGTCGGTGGTCACATGTTGTTGAATCCCATCATGCCTTTCATGTTGCCGGCGGCTCCCTGCTGGAACTGACGCATCATCGACTGAAGACCCGCCATACCACCTTAAAAACAATCACATGTTCCATCAGCAACCAATAATCAGCAACCAATAATCAGCAACCATTCACAGCAAAATGTCGAGTACAGCTAGCTAATAATGATCCTGATCACTGATCAATACTCTAATTATTAAAGCATCAGACAACCTGATCAGCCT